ATTTCATAAACATATACTTTGTATATGTCCTTAACAAATATCTACAATATAACATACATCATTCGGCAACAACCCCTAAAAATATTATTGTTTCATTAACTCTAGTACTTTGCTCAAATTAGTTTATTTTGCTGGTTCACACTTTCGTTAACGTAAGATATTACTCACAATTCATTTTAAATAATGGTTCATATAGTTATATATTTTAAAAATAGTATTAATATTTGCTCTATCAAGGATCTTATACATCTCAGATTCGTTGGAACACTTGGCTATTACACTTATATCATACATTTGATTGATTTCGTTTACTTTATCACATTCACAGAATATATGGAATTTAGACATTGATTTATTGCATCTTGGGCATATGGTTTGAGAGTAATCCAGGAACTTATCATTGAAAATAATCCCATTTTTATTTAGTCTGAGCTGTATGAAGAATTTTTTGACATTAAATGCCAGGTTCGTGAACATATAATTATTATTCATTGGATAGTTTAAAATTATTTTGTACCAGAATGGGTTTTTTCGTTTTTGTATATCTTCGATGTCTTGCACAATCGATATTTCCATTACTCTCTTAATTAATAGTTTACTTTGTTGTTCATTAGTGGTCGTATGTTCCATAAAAAATTCCATAGAGAACCCATATGTGTTTAGAATTTTTGTTAGATGAATTATCCAATTTCTATTTAATTCTTTATTTCTCGATTTATGGTATAATATATATAGCACCTTCGTAGTTAGGTCTCCTGCATCAATAACTTTTATTAGGAATTTAATATATCTTTTCATTAAAATGGTATTTAATTTATATCTATTCAATTCCAATCTTAGAGAGCTTCCTGGAATATTATATTCTAGTTGAAAAATTCTACGTATAAATCTGTTTTGTACTTTTTCAAAATCGTTGAATTTACTTAAACTCCAAATTGGCGACGCATAACCCAGCGAATTCATAATGATAGTATTGAAGAGTTGGAAATGTATTTGTAGATTTTTCATTTTGGTCTTACAAAACAGGATTATTAAATTATTTATTAAATTGTTAGCCTTATTTATTGATCTTTTATAGTGTTTATCAAATGAAAGATTAGGAGTAAATATTACTCCCAAGAATTTGACTTCATTAACTATTTTTATTTCTTCTCTTTTGATATAGAAAGAC